GCGCTGTGCAGAAGAAAAGAAAGACGAAACTCACTACCGCTATCCCGTCGCACATTGCGCCCATTGGCAATTGAAAGCACCGGTAGTCGGTATCGACGTTGAAACCTCAGTTGCGATTCAACCCCTTTGACAGGTGAAAAACGGCGTTTCTGTGACTCGGTCTGGTGCAATTTGGGATATTCCCCGGAGATACCCCTGCTTTGTTGGAGTTTTCCTTGGTTTCTGTTGGTCCGATCTTCACGACGGACCACATACCTATACCTCGAATTCTCGCCTTGACGGCCCTTTTCCTTCTCCCCCGACAGGTCTTCCTGTTCGGCTTATATCATATATCATAAACTCAAAAAAGGAAGAGAGGCACGAGACTTCTCTTTCCCCGCTCTCAATTACACACTCGATTCTATACTACCTCTTGTCGCGAATCATCGCATGTTCCTCACCCAGTAACCGCGGCGATGCTTATCGATGGCGAGAAGTGGGCTTGTGAAGCTTGCGTCCGGGGTCACCGGGTCAGCAGCTGTCACCACAGTGGTAGGTGGTCCATGCGGACGTCCTCCGCTTCGAGTCGTGCGATCGCGTTGTTCGCTAACCTGGCTGCTGCAGACCGCCCCTTGACCCACATCAACAAAAAAGGCCGCCCAGTCTCCCAATGCGCTCACTGTCGCGGCCTACGCAAGTCACGGACAACCCACACCAAGTGCGAGTGTGGTGATAAGAAAAAGCATAGCCACAAAAATGACACAGATCCCCATGCTGCTGACAAGCGGGATCTCAAGCGTGAGCATGATGGTGTTGGTAGATCGGTTCATTGTTTTCTGATATGGATTTTACAGAGGACTCCCGTCCGAGATGTGGCTGCACTTATGGACAGCGCTGTACTTGCGCGCTGAAAAAGGAACCCCACCTGGATACCGTCCCGGAAACCGGCCTTCCGCCGCCGCCAGCCACGGCTTTGTTGGATCAGCCCAAGAAGCCTCAGCTGACGTCGACCAAATCGGAGAGCACTCTCACCGTTTTCCGCGATGGTCACCACAAACCGGCTCACAAGCATAATGACATGGCTCACAAGTGTGGTCTGCCCTACACGATACCTCGTTCCCACACCATTCATTCGACGACCGACGTGGCTCGCCGCTCGGTTGACCACCTTCCTCTGGCCCAGCAGACCTTGCTTAACGAATGTCTGGCGAACCAGCAGCCCCCCGAGCAGTTGACCAGCCACCGACTCCATCGCCGGGTCAAGTCCGAACATGGGTCTCCGGAGAGTGCCCCCGTCGTGCCGCCGAACGCTGTTCCGACGACTGTTCCCCCACTCGACCTCTCGTCGTTTTTCCCATCACCCCAGACTATGGAGAAGCCCAGCGACATTAGTGTCCCCGGACCGGTCTCCACCATGCCCATGGCGAAGACTCCCCTGGACCAGCTAGTGACCAGCGGCTTGCCTGTCTCGTCATATTCTACTTTCCCAACAACAGCCACGTCTCCTGTCAATTGCATGGCCTTCCAAGATCCTTATAAGGAGGCCTACTTTACCTCGCCGGACAGCGACATGCCCATTGGATTCAGCGCTCCCCCTGTGGACTGGTCGAGCTTTCCCCTGTATTCGGACGTCCCGGCCGCGGCCAGCACGCAAACTCCCTCCTACGCAAGCTTCGACTATAATGCGATGGCTCCTGGCTTTCCGGCCCCTTCTTCATCTGGAGACATCTCTGAAGTGGACGATTTTGCCCCTCTCTCTGGTCTTGGCCGTACGGGCAGTGATCTCCACGACTTAACCAGTGTGAGCGAAGGCTCGGACATTGACCATTATCGGATTAGCTCGGCGTCGTCATTCATCGGTCTGCCCCAGGCTCAGCTGCTGTCATCCAATAATCTCGAGTCGATCGACATCGACGACTTCCTCAAGTCGGCCAACGAATCCACCGCTGCGCTTGAGCATCAGCTCCAGGCGAACATGGGGATGGAGTCCAAGCCTCTCCCCTCGCAAGATGCCTTTGTTGCCATGTCGACTCCTGAAGCGTACAAACCCATGACCACCCCGACGGCCAGCATGCCCATGACAACGTCTGCAGCGGATTCGATGTGGCCTGTGGGGCTGTACGATTCCAGCGCGACCTCGATGGACGAGAACAACACGGAGGCCAACTTCTTCGTGCAACCCTGGGTGCAGTAGGGGTTCAATTACCGATAGTCCTTGTGGTCTGCTAGCAGCACCTTACCACCACCTCCACACCGTCTGAGTGACGACCACCAACGTCTTCATGACCTTGATGAGAGATGATGATAAATGCCTGATTCTTATTGTTCGATTAGCCCGGTCCGCGAGTGACACTAAACTATAGCATCAATTGATCTAAAGATTTACTTTTTTTGGATTATGCGTCCGTTTGTTCTCTTGAGTCTATAGACTCTGTCAGCGGCGACAGTTTCCCAGTCTGTCTGTGGCCATCCATTCACATCACATAACGTACATACTAGTCATATAGATATCACACGTGACCAATAGACCTGTTTACTGGCACTGGCCATCCATCAAGGAAACACGTTCCGGGTATGAAATCACACTGAGTAGTTACTGTACCTCGTCCCGATGCAAACCGTGTATAAGCTTGACTCCACCGGGTTGGATTCAGCAGAACGTAGAACGTAGCGGTGAGCCTCACAGGTACCCCCCGGGAACTCAGAGCAGCGGTGTAATAGCAGGTAGATACGTATGCATTATGCAGCCTGCAGTACAGGAGGTAAGCGTATGCCATCCATCCGTCCAGCTCCATCCTTTCAGGGCATCAAAGATGACTGTCAGTGACCTGTTAAGAACTCAACCAACCAATGACCGACCTTGCCGGATAGCCGGGTGTCTTTCTCGAGACATTGCGTTTCTTTGCAGTGTTTGCTCTTGTTACACCGTCGCGGTCGATTTGTGCGACGTCGCGCCGGCGGCCGTCTGGGATGTGTCATCGCTCGGCTGTTGCGGAGGGTCGGTGTATTCCGCGGACTGTGTGGCTGGACTGAGGGAGAAATCGTATACATATACTAGCCTGGAGGTATATACCTGTTTCCTTCTGGGGAGGGAAGGGGATATTGGGGGTGTGTAATCCTTTTCGGGGCTTCAAATCACCGATTTCGATGCCCACCCTGGTATCACCCTGTAGCTTGGGAGGGCCGACCCAGACAAGTTGTAACCGTGCGGGTTCTTGATCGGGAATCGGTGCAGGGTTGGTTATGCATATGCACTTTACAGTAAGCGCAGAGGAATGGTAAGTTCAGTCAACTTCTGCTTTCAACCCTATAGCTAGCTACAGCTTCAGGATTATTCGATGGAGATTGATGCCTTAGTGTGTAGTGCGGATGGACTCTACAAGTATGTATATTCGTGTGCACTATTTACATACCCGTACTTGTGAGATAGCCTCAACTTGTGAGTTAACCAGAACCAGCAAACCCCATCCATTTCCACCCCGTACTGTCACCATACATGGCCCCAAACCCAGCAACTTGAATCAAATCACTGACTGACTCATACACACGCACAACCCCAGCGATATTGCCAATCCAACCACCGGTAGGGATTCTCAAACTCGTCAGTGGATTTTGCTTCATCGTAGTCTAAGTTACCGGACTTACTCCGCACTCCCTGAAATGAACCAGAAAGCCAAGGCCCGACAAGCCTTGCACCACGAAAGCTTGTTGGCGGTCCCTTGCATTTAGAGGGGAAGGAAGAGGGGGGGGTTGTGGTTGGGGTTGGACTGTTGGAACCTCCTAAGAAACAACAGGGGAGCAGCAGCCGGGAGAGAGGTCGAGGAGGAGGAGGAGGAGGAGGAGGAGGAGGGCTTATGCATGGATGTACTCCGTACTGTGCTGTATGCAGGCCGGGTGGAGTCGATGATGAGATGGATGGGTGCGTCTGTGGATGGATTGGAGGCGGTAAATGCCTCACTCACCATACGGTTTAGTCCGGGAATCGATCTGTCTTTTGGAGGGAGGGGAGCGGTCTGTGCTGTGGGTGGGTTTGTGTTTTACTGGTCTGAATATACCGATGGGTACGGTACACATTGGGATGGGCAGTACTGCAAGCATACGAGAGGATGTAGTTGTAGATTGGTTCTTTGTGCATGGTACTCCGCACTGTGCTATATATTTTGGATAGGTGGTTTGGGTGGACAATTTTGTGGTATATAACTTATAAGTTGGGCAGTTGAGTGGCTACACAATTGAATTGTACATTTCATGTTCTATATTTTCTGATCTATATAATCAACCTTTCAGTAGTACATTATTGAAAAACACAGTACTGTTCATTGCTCTCCAAGTGGATGAACCGTGTCACGATTGACAGCTTCATAAACGACAGCTCCAGTACCATACAAGCTAATCGGAACAGGACCCGTACAATAAAATCTTGTACTGCACCTACCAAAATAAGAACGTGGCCAGATGTGTATTACGTATAGTATGGGTTGCAAGGCTGCAATGTCCGATTACTAACTGACAGACAGGCTCACAGTTCTCAAGATAAGTTCTATCTCTGTACCGATGACCTGTGTGGTCACCCCCGAAGGCGAGGCGAACAGAACATAAACTCTCCGGGGGCCTTGAGAGTCTGTGTGCTTGTTATCTCAAGCAAGCCCGCACGGTTGTTTCATCCCACTGCACACTGCCGAGGAAGGCAAGTCGTGCATACGTCGTTAGTTACTACTTTATACGCCGGAGGAATCTGTCCCAGAGTCGTCGTTCCTACTCCCTTGCGTCAGAAGATTCCTGGTTGCTGAGCTCTGTGGGCCTAAGTCTTGTTTACATGGAGTATTTACAAGATTCTGGCGCTTTCGAGATAACATTAAAAGTTCAATTCAACCAATTAGGGGCTTATTAATTCCATTACATATTATGAGCTAATTAGACATAGAATGTTAGTACAGCGCCGAAGCTGCCAAGAAAGTTCAAGAGAGCTTACAAGTATCAACTAGGATCCCCACATTCTTCCCGAAGGCTCGGCCATTGCCTCAGTGTCCTTGCCCTTGCCCTTGCCCTTGGGCCTGAGAGTGTCCTTGAGTCTGGCTCTGGCCTAGACCTTGACCCTGGGCGGAACCCTGACTGGGCTTCTGTCCTTGTCCTTGGGTTTGACTCTTTCCTTGGGCCTGCCCTTGGCTCTGGGTCTGCCCTTGGCCCTGAGCGTAACCTTGAGTCGGGTTCTGTCCTTGTTGAGCGGACCCGTGAGTCTGTCCCTGTCCTTGGGTCTGTGCCTTTCCTTGGCCTTGGCTCTGAGCAGAACCTTGACTGGGCTTCTGCCCCTGTCCCTGGGTCTGTGGCTGTCCCTGGGCCTGACTCTTTCCTTGGGGTTGGCTCTGTCCTTGGCTTTGGCTTTGGGCGGAGGCTTGACCTGGCTTTTGTCCCTGTCCCTGGGCCTGTGCTTGACCTTGGCCCTGAGCATATCCTTGAGTCGGGTTCTGTCCTTGGCCCTCGGACTGAGCGGATCCGTGAGTCTGTCCCTGTGCCTGGGTCTGTCCCTTTCCTTGAGTTTGGCTCTGTCCTTGACCTTGGCCCGCGGCGGAACCTTGGCTTGGCTTTTGTGCCTGGGTCTGGCTCTTTCCTTGGGTCTGCCCTTGTCCTTGGGGTTGTGCCTGCCCAGGCTGAGATTTCCCAGATCCAGCAGCAGACGAACCGCCTTGAGGAGTTTGGCCGGAGCTCGTGGTGTGACCGGATGGTGATGCGGCGCCCTTAGATTGACCTGCGGAAGATTTTCCAGTACCGCCGGTAGTCTGGCCCTGGCTGTCTGGGCCTGCCATAGGCCCGTTGTAGACAGGATCGCCCCCTGGGCCGACGCCGCTGGAATAGCCTTGAGAGGCGGAGCTCTGGCCTTGAGGAGAAGAGCTTCCGTATCCAGCTGACTGACCCTGAGGGGTGGAGCTCCCGTATCCAGATGACTGACCCTGAGGGATCGAGCTGGTGGATCCCGAAGACTGGCCTTGGGGAGCGGAGCTACCGTATCCAGAGGACTGTCCCTGAGGGATCGAGCTGGCGGATCCCGAAGACTGGCCTTGGGGAGCGGAGCTACCGTAAGCCGATGATTGACCCTGAGGAGTAGAGGCTCCAGAGCTAGAGCCGGAAGACTGGCTTTTCGGAGTAGAGCTGCCGTAACCGAAGGGCTGGCTTTGAGCAGTGGTTCCAAGGTATCCAGCAGCTGCAGATTGACCCTTTGGCACAGTGCCAACATAGCTTGAAGCTACGGAACCTTTGGGGTTGGATTCACTGGCACTAGCCGGAGCAGCGGCCTGGGTCTGAGAGGGAAAACCTCCCGTGTAGCTCGAAGGAGTCGACTCATCATCGTCACCAGATGCTGTTCCGACAGGGTTGTAGCCCGGGGGAAGCAATTCTCCAGCAGCATCCAGACCATACTGGTCGGCGAGTTGGGAACCGATCAACTCAGGATCCACAGATTGACCTTGAGGAACGGATGCGCTTCCGGTGTTAGGGGACTGAACCTTGGGCCGTGTTCCGCTAGGCGTGCCGTTGCTTGTAGTCGAACCAGGGCGAGTGGATTGGTCCTGGGGACGCGCGCCATTGGATGCACCAGTGTTCGCAGAGCCCTTAAATGCTCCGGTGCTCGCAGACTGGCTTTGAGGCCGTCCTTCACTAGGTTTTCCTGCCGTCGCGCTTGATCCGTCCGAGCCAGGTTGTCCCCGAGGATACGCGCTGTTGGTTCCAGTGTTTGTGGATGGAACCACTGGAGCCGAATTGTCTTGGGGACGTGCACCGCTAGATGCTCCCTTGTTCGAAGTGGAACTCTGAGGACGCCCTGCGGCAGAGGCGCCGGTATTGGAAGTTGAGCCCTCTTGCGCTGTTTGTCCCTGGGGCCGGACGCCACTAGATGCTCCAGTGTTAGAGGTTGGACCCTGCGATGACGTTTGTCCCTGAGGACGCGCTCCAGTAGATACACCGCTGTTCGCAATCGAACCTTGAGGGGCCACTTGAACACCCGGGAAATTCCCAGTGGCTGGCACAGATCCGCTGCTGGGACTTTGCGGGACAGGTTGCCCGTATTGAGCCGATTGGTCATTGGCCGTGGATTGTCCGAAGGGGTTCAATTGTCCGAAGGGAAACGCCTGGTCGGAGGATGTAGAAGCACCATATCCTGAGGATTGACCGTAAGGCGTAGGCTGAGTCGCCGAATTCGCACCGCTGTATGCGGCAGTGCTCGTAGCCGAGGCTGGGTGAGTCGGCTGGCTTTGAGACGGGGCGCTCGGGAGGCCCGTGTTCTGACCTCCAGGGGCCGTTTGTCCGTAGGGGCTAGGCTGACTTTGACTAGATAGACTGCTGTAACCGCCAGAGCTTTGACCTCCAACACTAGGATGGTCTCCGGCAGCCGTGGTAGTCGGAGAACTCGCCGGTTTCGTGGTCGTAGGGCTTGCAGAGGTGCTGGAAGCGCCCGCGGCGGTTGCTGCGGTAGTGGTGGGTGGAAAACCGTTGACAGCAGCTCCGTTGATCATCGCTGGAGCATGATAGTTGGCGGGACCGAGTTCCTTTGCCGCAGAGCTAGGCGCGGAAATAGGCACTCTCAATAAAGAGCTGCTGGGTGGTACAGGCACAGAGGTCGACGAGACTGCGGCAGAGCTGGACCACTGGACAGCATGACTTGAGGACGGTGTCGGAGAGGCTCGGTTCTCAAATGCATCATGAAGGGGCAGGGCCATGATGGAGCCGCAAAACCCCAGGATGAGATTCGCTGTCTGGACCTTCATGGCGAAGACTTGTTCCGAATACCAAGCGCTGTACCGAGAAGATCAACTCCTGTCTGAACGAGAACTACCCCAGTCCCCACACAAATGAAAGACAAGGGTCGGAAGTATAGCTGAAGGGGGGCACGTCGTTCTGACAGAGCACGAGGGATCGAGCTCGAGCAAATCCAAGGGGAGACTGGATCTTAAATAAACCAAACAAGACAGTAGCTTGGTACTTCGGTTCTGTTTATGGCCTCTTGTCCGATGTTGTCCAACTCATAAACCCCTTGAATGCGGGTCCCTTGGTAGCCAAACATTTGAGCTTCGACGCCATATGGTAGCCCCACTATGAAAGGGCACCGATCAATAGAAGGCTATCAGTGCAGTGAATAGTGGTAGTTGCTCAGGTTAGGCTAGCACGTCATAGAATCAGCCTTTCCTGATAAAATGCTCAACGATCGAATGAGGCAAGCGGAACACATACCTCTTGGCCTAGGGCAACCACGGCCAGAGGAGGACAGACACCCAGGGTAAACAATCAGCTTGATCGCACATAAGCTGCCCTGCGTTGGTCGGCCTCGAGCCGTCAAGTATTTCCCAAACCTATTGCCAATCTGGGCCTAGTATAGGCCAATGGATTCCTGGTGCAGATCATGTTCTTTTTGATTCCTTAGGCCCGTATTGTGGCCATTGGAATGTAGTATTTCACACATATTTTGTATGTTTATGGCATCCCTTGATTCCTGGAGTACGTAGACTTTCAGGAACACAGAGCTTGGCTTCTTTGTTCTATTCAGAATTGTGTTTCACAGTTCAGTCTATAGGCCAATTGATAGACCAACCTTCATTGACTTGGTACCTTGAAGTAGTCAATGATCATCCGATCACGGATCGGGCTCATGTGGTACAGTACACCTAACCACTGCCATTGACAGGCACGACAAGAGCGACGAATAAAAGAGGCTAAACGCAAGCACTGACACTTGGAGTATTGCTTTGTCTTTGTTGGGTCAAGCCAGCAATGTGCAGCAGTTGGACGGCGCCCAGTGCCGCTCAAGATGTGTTGGGCTGGCGGGATTCAAGGGTAATTGTCTCGGTGTTGAAGATGAGCATCAGCGACCTGCTGAGTCGAGGAGTTAGTCACTTGAAGTGACCGCGCGGTGTTCTCTCCCAATCATAAGCATGGACCACGACACAGTGAGAGTACTAGGTAGCCATCTGGGGGTAGGAGTATTGAACTGCACCTGGAATAAATTAGAGAAAGCGGTAAGCGGAAGGTGGATTCAAGGCGGAAGGCGGAAATCGGAACCTTGAAGTGTGGGGTGGGATGGCCAAGCCCCGGATCTTGGCAGAAATCACCCACCACCTTTCGTCGATCTACTGCCATCATAGTTATCACCACTCGTGCAAATACCTCAGAACAAGAGCTCTTAAGCTACTCAAACTGTACCAAAGGACAGTAAAAGTTCATCGATGGAGTCCTCTAACCTCAAAAGCTCAACTTCCAATCACCGCAAACAATCATTTGCCTGACATATAGGCCTCCCAGCCATCTTTCTTATTATTATAAAGATCGACCATCCAGTATCGTGCCATTATCATCATGAGCTCCCCTGAAACCGCATTTGCCTACGAGGAGCCCTTCATCCACACCATTCTCAATCAATCCGGCTTCCTGCTAGTCCTCAATCTGGTCAACGTCTGCCTGGACAAACTGCTCTACTGCGGGCTTATCGGCCAGCTCTTCATCGGCATTCTCTGGGGTACTCCCGGGGCGAAATGGCTCAGCGACGACGCGGAGACCGTGACTCAGCAGCTCGGGTACCTGGGCTTAATTCTGTTGGTCTATGAAGGCGGTCTCTCGACTTCACTCTCTTCGCTGCGAGCGAACCTCTTTCTTTCGGTCGCCGTGGCATTGACCGGGATCGCTACCCCCATGGCTCTCTCCTTCATCCTCATGGAACTGGTCTCAGCGACTCCCTTGCAAGCCTTTGCTGCTGGAGCGGCCCTCAGTGCAACCAGTCTGGGGACCACGTTTACCATTCTTTCCACCACGGACCTTGTCAAGACACGGCTGGGTGTTGTAACTACGAGTGCGGCGATGCTCGACGATGTTGTAGGGCTGGTGATGGTCTAGATCATCACGAACCTTGGTGGCGGTGGCGGCGATTCATTCAGTGCGGTGACTGTCATTCGACCGATCTTCGAGTCGCTCGCCTTTGGTGTGGGCGTCGTGCTTGTCTGCCAGTTCGGTGTGACGCCTACCCTGCGGGTCCTCTTCATGCACCGCGACAAATTTCCCAATGCTGCGAAGACAGTCCAGTTTGCTTTCCTGGCTTATACGTGTCTCTTGGTGGGGCTGGTCGCTGGTGCTACCTACGCAGGGACATCCAGCTTGTTTGCTGCATATCTTGCGGGTGTCTCAGCGACGTGGATCAGTGACTTTTTCGAGCAAAGCTCAGCAGCCGAACATCACAGTTGTTTGGGATCTACTACTGGATACGAATTGAGGACTCAGAATGCCTCCCAGGAGCGTGCGTCCAGCCAGGAAAGTGTGACTTCCGAGCGGGATGGCCAAGGGAAACCCTCACAATCCGGTGACATGAGCTCGTCTTGTGCAGAATATCCCACTGGCTCGCTGGTTTACGAGAGATACTATGCGGAACCAGCCAAGAGAATCTTAAAACCGCTCTTCTTTGTAAGTCATGTTCACTCCCTATCTCACGATGACTCGACTGATGTAGGCCAGGCCTCGATCGGATTTGCTGTCCCAATCACGGAAATGTTCAGGGAGGATATTGTCTGGAGAGGGGTCATCTACGCCATTCTCATGTTCTTCGGGAAAGTCGTGACAGGTACTTGGCTGGTCAGATTTACCTTCGGGCCGGTGTCGAGCTTGGTTCGGACATTGACAGCATTCTTCTCCTACGTCAGACTGGCCTGTGCCCGTTCACCGCAGGCTAAATCAGCAAAGGTGAAGGACAAGACGACAAATAAAGAGAAAGCACGCTCGAGGGACTCGAACACGGTAGCCGCAGATCAATCTACAGATAAGGTCGCTGGTAGCGGTACATCGGCGTCGAACGGCAACAACTCTTCCCAGCGAGCTTCCGCCAGCTCAACTGCGAGAGATCATCCATGGCCTGAACGTGCTAGCTCGTCTAGCTCTCTTCCCCCCAAACCCAAATCTCTGTATCCATCGTCAATATTGGGTCTGGCAATGGTAGCGCGAGGGGAGATAGGCTATCTCATTGCGTCCCTCGCAGAATCGAAGGGGATCTTTGGTCAAGGCCCAACTGGCGGGTCTTCAGACACTTATCTGGTCGTCGTTTGGGCGATCTCGATCTGCACCCTTCTTGGTCCCATTTGTGTAGGTACGCTTGTCCGAAGGGTACAGACCCTGCAGCAACAGCGGACCAACTCGGGTGGCCCAGATCCGCTGGGCGTGTGGGGCATTTGATCATAGTGGTTGTCTATGGGCGCTGGCGACCACCTAGTTAGGACTTGGTGAGAAGTCCAGCTATGTGTTTCCGAGTTGCTGTATATAGAAGCAAGCAAGACATACATAAATTGTACAATGACACTGGAACATGAACATAGACCCCGAGTACAAAAATAGTAATGCAGATGAATAAGTTGCCGGAGTTAAGGTAAGATCTGGCTGCGAGTTCTCTTCGGCACACGTTGGAAAATCAGCTCCACGAGTTGCAATGATTGACTTACGTCCTTCAGCTTGCGTAAGCCTTCGTTCAAAGCAAGTATACCTGGCCAATACAGGTTATTATCGGGACAACTGGATGTTTGAGCGGGTCTAAGGAGGTGACTCGGGGATAAAGATCCTCTGTTCTTGATCTACATGCATATCCGATAAGCACATGCGGATGAAGCATTGGGTCAGAGATCGCACTAGATGACGATCGCTAGGCTGACCTCGCTCCCTGTCGCTGAGACGTCGGTAGCTGGCTAGGAATTCCGTTTCACAGGGAGTGATCGGCCATGTTTGAAAAATACGTTGGCTCCGATGCCGCTCGGTGACGGAACCGTTGATGCGGGCATCCACTAACTATACCGCCAATCAGTGTGCTTGTTGTGATTGCATATCAAGAGTGAGAACAATGTCTGATGACGATGTGCGACACATTTGTCATGATCTCAAAAACTGGGAGCAATTATGTACTCTGCCTGGTACCGTCCTGGCATCACTGCCTTTCGAATTGACTTCCAGGCACCGTCCCAGGATCCAAGCATTGGTAACCTTCAGGACTATTTACTCCGGAACGGTTTCCCGTGTGCTTGCGACGGGGGGTGTACTCTGGATCAGTCAGCACTAAAGTTCCGCGTTACTCTAGGGAACAATCTGTTCAATGGATTTGTCGATGGTCAGAGTCTGTTGCTAGTTCCCAAAGTCAAGCTCCGTGCAATTGGGGGTCAATGATCCGCCCAGGTGAAGACTAATTGGAAGGTTTTATTTTTTTGCGTACTCGCATCATGCTTAACTTTCGGGTCCAATATGACTTGTCAGGTCAGCAGTGCATGATCTGATGCGTAATGTTTGGTGACTGTCCACCGGGCACTTAGCAGTGAAAAGTCACCGCCTAGAGTGTCTGACGCTCACGAAACATTATAGTGCTGCGTAACTCAATTGTCCTGAATTCAATTGAGAGGGCCCAAAAGGTCCTTGTGACATGAAGGTCTTCCTCCTTCAGATAAATCAATTATTGTTCAACAGGGTTCTCTAGGTCGAGTAGTGGCTTGGCAGGAAATGGGTGCACTATTACAAGAGCCTTGAATGAAAGAGGTATCGCACCGATCGGAAGCACTCAAAGTGTTGTTCTTTTAAGATTATGCATCTGTTGCCGCTATGTATGCATCAGCTGCTGTAGGTTGAGGAGGCTAGTGGAAGAGGGAAACCTTAGTCCAGATCCGGATTTCATCATTGGAACGCGACACGTACGGCGGCTGTCTCTGGAAGAAAGAAAGAGCTTCTGAGACCATCACACTGGCGAGCGATGAAACGTCATTCCCCTCGAAGGGAGGAGAGGCGTGCCCTGTGCACACGAGGAGAGGGGAGGGAGAGGGAGGGAGGGGATACTCCCTGGCTCGACTGATAGCAAGCAAGTAGAAAATTTCCTATCAACCTCCTGTCAACCTCCTCTCGAAGCCCTTGTGTAGGCACTGCCCACGGTCACGAGAATCAGCAATTGAACGCGTCTCCATGGGAAAATAGGTTTTATGAAGGGAATCGGACCAGTCGCCTGCAGGAAGCCCCCCCTCGCATGGGCGCACAACGGGAAGTGAACAACAACCACATCCCCCCAAAATAGACAGGGCGTTGACTTTTCCCTTTACCCTTCCGCGTCCTTCCTTCTTTCCTTCGTACTCTTTTCTTGATCTTTTCTTTCCGATCGGTCAATCCGGTGGGAGAACGGAGAAACAAGGATGATGACAGGATAGTGGGAGGGGTGGAGAGGATAGAAAGGTAATTGTACCGTTAGATGTTGCGGTGTGGTGTGTGTGGTGTAGAAGAAGTTATAAAGCTGTCGTGTCCCAGACCAGGACACTGCCATCCATCTTTCCCAGCCAGTGTATAGCTTCCTTCTCCCCAATTTCAATTCTTTAATTGTCTGCTGTGCAGTTTCCCCTCTTCACTCTAGTTCTAATATCTCCTGACCACCTTCACCATGCGTTCCTTGAGCCTCCTTCTTGCCATCGTCGCCTTTGCTGCTTCGGCTCTGGGTAGGGTTCCCGATTTCCGATCTCTGCTGGCCCTGAACTGACCGGACTCTCCAGCTCTCACGATCACCGCGCCCAAGGCTGGGGACCAGGTTGACTTCAGCAAGTCGTACAAGTTCCAATGGACAACGGTTTCGTGCGTTTTCTTCCCCAGATTGACCCGTCATGCATAAAACTGACAGGCTGCGCAGTTCTGATCCGGACGAGGTCACTTTGGTCCTGGTCAACATGGCCTCCCAGCCTACAGTCAACAAGGTCATCACCCAGAATGCCAAGGTCTCGGATGGCTCCTATACTGTGGACATGATCACCGGGATTCCTGTTGCGTATGTTGTATCCTTGACTCGAGGTGGAACTGCAGCAAGACTGATCAGGTCGATGATAGTAATGGCTACCAACTGAATGCTATTGCCAACACCACCCAGAACACTGGCATCTTGAGCCAATCGAACCAATTCAACGTGACCAAGGTTGGCAAAGTTGAGACGGGTAAGGATACTTCTAATTCAACACTATCATCATCACCATCACACACATCACAATCTGCACCTATATCACCTACACCTACACCTACACCTACACCTACACCATCATCACCACTATCATCATCAGCACATGCACATGCACATGCACATGCACCACTATCATCCAGCACCTACACCAGCACTAGATACAAGTCACGCCCCTGCATCTATCACAAGACCTCTTCACCATCTTCACCATCATCTAGCACCATTCCCTCCGCCTTCGTGAGACCGGGTGAGTACAGACAGGATATGAGATGAATGAAGTTATCTAACCTGGGTTCAATCTGTTTGTTACCTCCACAACAGCCACAGCATCTGCCACTACTGCCACCAAGACCGCTGCCTCCGCCACTGCCTCCGCCGGAGCTGCCGCAAGCGCAATGACCCTGAGCGGTCCCCTCGCCGTGCTCAGCGCCCTCGTGATGAGCATCTTCGCCGGAGCGTTGTAAACGACCCCAGTCCAAGCAAGGTACAGTGACACGATCCACAATTGACGTTGCGACTTTCGTCATGCAATCCCGGTGTCACTGCACCGAACCGCCATCGTTATCCGCACCGTTTCGCTTCCGAGTAAACGACCTCCCACCGCTCAGCCCGGGCGTCTGTCCCACCTAACTACCTACCTACCCAGTCCTCTCCCACTCTATATTTAGATTCTAATCCAGGGTAAGGGTTGTATATACGCACTCATATCATCGCCAATTACACTATGAGTGGTACACACAAATTGCTTTGCTTTGCTTACCTTGCCAGCTTTGGCCTTTGAATTAGTTCCATCACAACCCCTTTCCCCCAAAACATACCAGCACTTTGGTTTACTCTTCCTTCACCTGCAACTGCATACTCTCATCATACTACCCACTATTTTTCCCTCCAGAATTCCCCTCTCTGATTTCATGCCCTTTGATCCTTTGCCATCACCCCTCCCCCTCCTACCTACACGAGTGACGCAACACGATACATTATCCATTTATCCCATCCATTCATCCCACCTGTCAATTGACTGACGAAAGCACAACCCCCTGTTATCTTCCCCCCCCCCCTTTCATTTCAATGTATGAAGATGTTTGTGACTCTCTGCCTGCAATCTTACCGTTGATGAGTTTTTTTGGTGAGGTTGATAGTCGATACTTTATCTAATCATTGGCATTTCTTCTACACCCCCCTGCCGATACAGTGATAGGTCACCCCCGTAGTATAGTTCCAAGCTCCTCTCTTCGCTCGGATTAGAGTGCTTTTCTCCCTACCACACTTAACCAATCTTTTGCTGCAAGTTATCTCTAGGATATGGGGTATCTCGACCAGGCCAGAGATACGTTTCCCCCGACATGGATAATGGCCTAAAGCAAAGGGGAGAAATGAGCTTCAACAGACTTGACCTAAACTGCCGCTTTCTGCTTTTTTAGCCTGGTGCAATCAATTTAATAGCACGCCCCTTTAATTAGGGAAGAACAAGAATTACAGGTATCCAACATGACTGGAGATTAGCGGTTTCATTTGGGTATAGATCTCATGAAGAAAGAAAACAAATCATACAGATATTTACAAGGATCAAGGAGAGGATTGGGAGCGAGCATGGCCTCCATCTGCTTTTGGATTCTCTTTCTCACGCTGCTCCGCTCAAAGAGACCCCATCACGGAGTCTCCCAGTGCAGAACCGGATCCCGACGCCGCTGCACTGGCGCTGAAAGCTGGGGATGAGGTCTGGTCGTAATATTTCTCGTTGATGCCTTCGCGGGGACGGTCCCAGGTGCGAATGTGACCTGCGGCGGGTTGGAGGTCAACGCGCGATCTTGATGAAGGAGATAACCTCTTTGCGGGGGGGGTTGGGGGGGGGGGGGGGGTTACCTTCAAGAGAAGACGTCATAATGGAGTTTTCTTGGAACCCAAGCCAGCAGATGGGGTCTTCTCCGACGATCTTGGACTATAATGATGTTTCTTAGCTGCCAGCCTGGAAAGTTGGGGAGGGGGAAAGAAAGCTCACCATGATCGGTGGCAACAGAGCCGTCCGCGCCCTGGGCTCGACCGGATGGCGAACGGTCGGATCATAGCTGCTGTAGGTATCGGCGGTCTGTTGCGAGTCGGACCGGACTCGGTTGCCGGCACTATCGGCGCGATGACTGTTGTTAAGTTGCGTGTTGGTCACAACCATGCTTGTCCGCTGGCGCGCGTTCGCTTGGTGCTGGAGGAGTGTAAGTTTATGGAGCAAGCTTGATTGATGGTGTTCATCTGGCGGTGCGGAATGAAAACCTACCACTCGGGGACGGTGGAGCATGCCCACGCTGAAGTCCCATAGTAACAACCGGCAATCATCACCAACACTGCCGAACCGATAGTTTCTCTCATCGCAGCGCCAGGGATCGAATGCTACCGCAGAAACCCAGGAGTTGTGGCCTTGGCATCGGGCTACGATCTTTCGTTCTGGTAGGGACCAGATCGTAACCAGATCATCTTGGCCGCCGGTCACGATGTATTTGCCGTCCGGGGACCAGCAAACACATATTAGACCGCCATAATAACTGCGAAAAATGTCAAGAACCCTAGCAGCAGTCAGCGGCCTGTCTATCAACAGTGGCAGTACCAAGGATAGCCTGCATACTCTTCTCTCAAGTAGTCCATCACCCGTAAAGACCCGTCCTCCAGGACAATGGCCAGGTGTCTGCGGTCCGGAGAGAACGCAAACTGGGAGATCTTCTGATTGGCGACTTTCCAAAAGGAGACCGGATTCGTCTTCTGATTTTTGGAGTTGACCGACTTGAGGACCTGCAATGGCTGCCGGCCCGAAGATTTCAGCATCTCAGCCGAAGGGCTGCTGAGTTCGGGTGTGAAAAGTGCATCCTCCTTCTCCTTATCATAAACTACCAACTGGCCGTTGGCGTAGGCGGCCATGAAGAGATTCTCCGATCCTGGAATCCACTTGATATGAGTTACGGCAGAATTGGCTACAACCCCGTTCTTGTTGATGCGCGCGTATTTCTGTGAGATCGGCTCGTACCATATTATGTCCCCGGCCGATGAACCCATAACGATATCGATGTGCGATGAGCTCTTCGTCAATTCGTTTATATCGTGGCTCAGAATGTGCGCTTTTGTGAAGAGAATTTTCGCCAGCGGCTCTTCTTTCTGCTTCGAACTGAGATCCAACCACTGGAATGCGCGGTTGATGTTGGCGAATGCGAAAAAGCCGTCTGGGTTGCGATCGTTCAGGCGTTTCGTCAGGGCTTCATGGGTAATTACCCGTGATACGAACGATGAGCTGCTCTTCACAATGTTGTTCTTCGGTTTCCTCCTCTTGAGGCCTTCTTTAACCACCGGCGCGGCCAGCGCGGGGTTCCCATCGCCAAACAATGGTGCTGTGGCATTTCCGTTCAAAGAGTATGTAGGGGCCTTGCTTTGGTTGCTGACTTGGACTAAAGAGAGTTTCACGCCCGAGGTTGGCGGGGTCACGCCAGTCGCGAGCGGGTTCGGGTTCACAACAGGCGCTTCCGAGGGATGGGGCGGCGGCGTTGCGAGGTGGAGGTTATCCTTGAGGTGATAGGTGCCTATCGCAGGAATTTGTGTCAGTGGACTCTCCATCACATGTCTTTTGTGGGTGCGATAGAGCAAACGCACCTTCTCCAACCTGCAAAGAACAACCGCCTTCGGGATGGCTGATGATGTTGTTTGTTTCTACCACAGGCACCGCCATGCCGTTTGATGCACCAGCTGCATAGGCGACAGGGACGGTGTAGCGAGGTGGGGGAGGGGGAAGGACGCTGAATTGAGGGATATCAGTCAGAAGGGAAGCCATATAAAAAAGCCGTCACATTTCGTCAAAGGCTGAGGGAAACGGGTCTGTCTCTGGAAACTCTCCAGGGACTCTGGCGCCGGGCCTATGATGCTGCGGCACAGAGCGCGGAGATAAGGGAAACCAAACGGATAACCAGGGTGCGGTCGGGGTGGTGTGTCTTACAACATGGCTGCGGTTGCGACAGGGCCTCCACGGGAACCAATTGATGGTGAATACAAGGATCCTCCGGGGTTGGTATGATATGATGGGGGCGTGATATCACGAATTTAGTGACTCTAGCAGTAGGCGGGCTAGCCAGGCAACGCTGAATACAAGTCCTCCAAGAGCAGCACCAGCAACGGGTGCCACTCAGGGCGGCTCTTTATACTGATAATGTTTATATAAAGAGGATATTGCCAGGGCAAGTTTTGCGCTCAGCCAGTATTGCAGGTCCTGGTGGGGGAGACAAGCGACAATCGGTGGCAGAGAGGTAGCTGGGCCGAGGAGGAAAGTTGGTCGAAACACTGGGACAATCCGCGGCCGTCCTTGGGTAATTTAAGTACGTAGACTTCGGGGGCGGAGATCAAGAGAGGAGACAGGGGGGAAATTCCGGGCACGAATCGGCAGAGTTTGTGTCTTGGAAAGGAGAGGTCGGAATGAAGCCAGAGTCACTTTGGAAGTCACTTGGAAGGAAGCCTGGCAGACAGACGACAGACGGATGGCCGGGACCTGGGTGGGAGGCTGGAGCTGACGGGCAGCCAACCGGTGGTCATGGTTATTCCGGGGTTAGTTTACGTTAGTTGAACTAACTAACAGTATTAGACCAATTACTTCGTAGACGGTTAGAGGCAAGTTCGCGCGTGGGGCCGGCCGGCAACTTTACCTAGTAGCATACTGGACTACGTAGCAGGTACTTACGGCGGGGTTCACCGTCAATGGTGCTCTTGGGCCCATTGTACTTACTGTACCTGCCTACCTTACTTTCCATGAATGCTTTCTGGCAATGCAGGTAGGCAAAATTGTCAAGGGTATCTAGTTTCTAGGTTTACAACTATCGGTAACTACATAGTGTTGGGGAACCAGAAGCGCTATGAGGGCTCAGACCCCACTACCACTGACTCTCCGCCAGATCATCACCGCTGCTGCCCCCGCGCAGACAACCGCCCCCAGTGCGATTCCCCACGACATCCACTTGCCCTCGACATCTTCCTCACTCCGTGGGAAGGCCGTGCTAGGCTCCATAGCCGCCTCGGCAATGTGAACAAACACTTCTTGGATTGAACTCCACGTAGCACTGACATGAAGTGGTGGACTGGGCATGTTCAGCATGGCCGTGTATTCATGAGGTTGATGCTCCGCCCGTTGGGTGGTTCGGTCCAGGTCCGCTTTAAGCGCAACAAACACACTCGCAAGCTCTTCCAAGTGCGGATACTTGGCCCGCAGAGCTGGAATATACGCAAACGAATCGGGGTCAGAAGAGTCGTACGTGTAAACAATGACATCGCACTGGTCGAGGAGCTTGACCTGATTCTCCAGGATGGCAGGCTCGAGCTCTCCAAGTTCGTCCAGGATCAGATAACATTGCTTCCCTCCAGGGAGCTCGACTGTATTCACAGCAGTTCGTGGCTGAATGGTGGGGTGATATGTGGCGCTAAATCCTCTCGAGAGGAACGCATCCAACAGAGCCGATTTGCCGGATCCCGGAGCTCCAAGCACGTGGCCAAGAACGACGTTGCGCCCCACGCGTCCGGGCCGTCTCCTTCGCTTTCGTGGCCGCGTGACTTTAAGCGCCGCCGTTGTCGAAGGATTGCTGCGGTCGGCTGACTCGAATCCCAAGTAGGCCAAGTACTCGAGCGTGGTCTTGGGCGATGTGAAAGTGGTCATACTCCATTGTGCCAGCCAGCCCTGAAGGGTGACGTGACCGGCCTCGTTCCGAACGGTGGAAGATGGGAATGAGCCATCCGCCCAAGAGGCCGGCAAACCTGGTGTCGGCGCAAATAGCGACGCCAACTCGGCGTCATTCAATCCACCATCATTATCCTTGTCGGAGAGAAGAAAAAGGTTAACAAAGAAACGATAGCCCTCTGGCGACAGCTCAGCTGATGCGTAAGGGGGAACTTCAAATCTCGGATGGAGGAAGTTTTCTTGAAGCGACAAGTTATCCGTGTACTGAAAAGCCCGTAGAATGATCCAGACTGTTTCGTGACGGCCTTTCTCAGCATACATCTTGTTGAGATGAAGGAACCCGCGGCAGTCAATGCCTGAGGGAGTGACCGAGTGAGGATGTGCCCTTTGGATGGTCTCCTTGATATGAACAAGATCTTCTTCGCTCAGAGGCTTCTCAAAACAGCGCATCTGAAAGTCCTCCATTTCCTTGTCACTAAGATAACCATCCCGATCTTTATCACTCAGATAGAATATGCGTTGTAGCGCGGCGACAGCAGCGGGCTTCAGAGCCGACTCCTTCGAATCGAAGAGCGGTGCGATGGGATGCGTGACGGCTTTTTGACAGAGAAAGAAAGCCTCGTTGACATTTCGATGCTCGCGGGCACTGGTGCGTATACATGAATCGATCTCCTTGAACTCTGCCATTAGCGGGAGCATCTCCTCCTCAATGACTTGTGTCTCCGTGTGGTCCGCAGCCAGGTCGGACTTGTTCGCGCAAAGAACTACCGGTACATTGACCCCCAAGGAGCGGAAATACGGCAGCCAGAACAGAGCGACTCTTTCGTAACTGTAATGATCCGAGTACACAAGTAGGATCACATTGGATTTTCTGATTTCCCTTGCCAAGTTGTTCCGCTCTTGCGGAAGCGCGGAGGTGTCCACCACTGTTGTCGTTGTGACATTTTCGGGGGTACCGATGGTCGGAGGTATTGTGATCTGGGGTAGGACGGGCTGAATCTTGTTTGTAACAAAGACACCTTTCACAAGAGAAGTGATCAAGCTGGATTTGCCAGTGCCTTCGTCTCCACAGACGCAGATTCGCACTGGAGTGCTGTCAGCAACCGTAGATCAGGGTCAATTGCGGTCGGCTTGTCGAACCTGTAGCCATCGTGAAATGGGTTAGGAATGCAGCTGCTATCACCCTTCTCTGATCATTGAGTCATGCCTTCCTGATGTTGCCGACATGAAAACCAAGAGTTTGTCTTGCTCGAAGAAGGGTGCTTTCAGGTTCCGATCGGTGACGGAGATGATCAGCGGAACCTCGGCGGTGGCTGTGCCGGTCTCGCAGCCTCAGGTCTCGATCGGAGGGATTGCATGGATGTGCAATATTACTGTGCCGTACAAATCTGTGCAACTCCTGATGCGCACACAATGTGGAAGTGAAAAGATGATCGCATCATATCGGCCTACTGGGCTATAAGGTCGAGGTCTCCCTAGCGACTTCCATTTGTCTGAAAGAATCAATTGCATGAGTTACGGCAGCCGGATGTGAAGAAAGCCGACCGCAGCAACCGCAGCCACAGGACGTAATGGAGACAAAAACGAAAAGCGCATACTCTTTGGGCTCGATATCGCGGGCCTGAGCACACCCTCGGGGGTTTTTCTTTGAGCCAGACAGGCCAATGCTCACTCAGCGACTTTTTTCACAGAGCACACGGCCTGCGATATCAATTCCAGCGTGCTGCACTAAGTGCATGGTGCCGCGGTTGCTTTTGGTCAGCTTGAGTTGGCAGGAGAAGCATAGATCGTTTGCGAAAGCGAGTGGATGTCAGCCCGTCATTTGGGTTCCACTTCCGGTCGCTCCCTCAAGACCAAAGCAACCTACGGTTATCAACACCTTTCTCTTCTTAACTGCTCCCTGACTCTTAACTCTCTCTCTTTCATCCCACCCCCTCCTTCCTTACTTCCTCTTCTCACTCTCTCCTCCCCTTCTTTACGGGTTTCTCAGGTCCGGAGTGGTTTTCAAGATGCCTCTCGGAATTCACAATCCGCTCCCTTCATCTCTGTCAAGTATGCATTACTCCGCCCGCTTTCCAACTTCCCCGCAATCACTTGCGAGGCTATTGAGCGTGAACTAACCCGCGGACAACAGGCGAATGCAAAAAGGTTGGGAAAATTCTTACGTCCTTCGTGGACCCCCGACAAGCATTTGGACCTGATAAGGTCATTCCTCCCGAAATTCTAGCAGGCGCTAAAGTAAGTGGGCAAAGGAGCCTTCCTTTGTCATGCCCATTCCGTGGCGTTTTCGTCTTAGGCTGACCGCTCTGTCGCCAGGGTCTCGCCATTCTTACTGTCCTGAAAGCCGGCTTCCTGGGCTCCGCTCGCTTCGGTTCGGGGGTTGTTGTAGCCCGCCTCGCAGATGGCTCTTGGTCGGCTCCGTCGGCCATTGCGACAGCAGGTGCCGGATTCGGGGGCCAGATAGGGTTTGAATTGACCGACTTCGTTTTTATCTTGAATGATGCGGCTGCTGTGCGCACGTTCTCTCAGGCGGGAACCTTGACACTGGGTGGTAATGTTTCGATTGCCGCTGGACCGATCGGACGCAACGCCGAGGCCGCAGGCGCTGCAAGTACGAAGGGTGTCGCGGCGGTGTTCTCATACTCCAAGACCAAGGGTCTCTTTGCCGGCGTGAGTCTGGAGGGAAGTATGTTGGTGGAGCGCAAGGATGCGAACGAGAAGATGTACAACAGTCGAGTGTCGGCCCGCCAGCTACTGAGCGGAACCATTCGGCCTCCTCCTGCCGCTGATCCTCTTCTACGTATCTTGAACTCGCGCGCTTTCTATGGCAACTCGAGGCAAGGAGATACTATGTATAACGATATTCCTGTCTATGATGATAGCCATGATGATGTGGTATGGGAGGGTCGACGAGGCGATGCCTATGGAGAAGGTCTTCGGCGTGACCGGACTGGGGTGAACGGCAACGACGACTATGAGTACCGGGATCGTCCTCGTCGTGCGAACACGTGGGCCGATGATATCTATGACCGACCCGCGGGAGGTCTGAACCGGTCATCAACGACTCGCAACAGCAGCCGCCCGGATACCTACGAGTCTTTCAACCGCAGCCGTAGCAACACCGCCCCTATTGATGAAGACTATGTGTATTCCGACCGCAAACCCAGCCGTCCAACAGCCCCGAAGCCGATCTTTGGGCAGAGGACAGGGGCTGCCCCTACACTCCGTCAGGACCAGGCAGTTGCGCTGTACACATTCGATGCTGATCAAGAAGGCGACCTGGGTTTCAAGAAAGGCGATATCATCACCATCCTCAAGCGGACTGACAAGGCAGAGGACTGGTGGACGGGGCGAATTGGAGACCGAGTTGGAATCTTTCCCAGGTAAGCATCACCGTCCGTCAGATCCGAAATCCTGCGCCGGATACTAACCTGCCATGCGTAGTAATTATGTTGACCCTGCTTAAAACCTTGATTCCCCTGTTTTAGTTTATGCGAAATGACATTTTTATGACATCCCTGTTTCTGTCTTTCCCTCAATGCCTTCCAGAATACTCGTCCTCTTTGACCTTTCAGTTTCGCATTGGCGATTTTTCTCTCTTGCAAATATGTCAGCTCTGCAATTCCAAGGGTCCGCTTTTGGCATTTCATATCAGCACCGGAGTTCAAATTGAGTTGACCAGTGAGCGCAGGTTTTCGCTTGCACGAATAGGGGATGAGCCAGGTATTCACATTTGTGGGTTGTGGTTCCGACTGGGCTGTCCTTCGGGTGCGTGTGTTTGTGATTGTGCTTAGGTACTGCTTCCAATTTATACATAAGATGTTCTTTTTCAGTATGGGATTAGCCGGCAGACCTGGCATTGTTAGAATGACTGAATGACTTCAATTATCGTTCACCGAGTTGAGATGGAATGATTGGAGAGGTCTCAGTCCCCCATTGTATTGGGGTTAGCTGCCGCTCAACTGACATAAATCAACCCCCCTTGCAAGGGCGCCTGGCATTGAACACAAAGACTCTGGCGTGATGGCTAGATGTCGCCAGAAAGTGGCTGGCTTGCTGTCGTCACCAGTCGTTTCTCCGGTGTAAGTTTCATAGGCATGTCCCTCCCTGTCTGTCCGTCCATACCCCGTATGTTTGGAGGTAATAATGAATGTACATTCTTCGAAGAGTTTGAGACCAAATTTCCTCCCTGTGGTATTGCATCCTTGAGTAAGCGAGGTCATCTGGGCCCCTCCGCCTGAGCACTTCAATCATGGGCTGAGCGCACCGGGTGGACCACAATCCTCACGTGTCAGGCATAACAACAATAAGGTCTTGCCTTGAAGGAAGGGCGGCCAACGGTGGGATGGAAAGTCGATAAACATTCCTGTCAGGTCCTTAATCCTTCTCGTGCTGCCACTTCAATTTCATTAGCTTTCATTCTTCTCTCCATCCTTTTCTTGGCTGCCACCTACGGAGTACTAGCGGAAGTGGGGGTGGGTCGTTTCCTTTTCTCCTCCCTGGCGAGGCTCAACGATACGAGACATCCTGTAGTAAGAACGTACTGACTGTACAGAACCTCTGAGCTGAACACTAGCAGCATGACTCATCCAAGGACAGCTCGAGCTGGTGTCAAAGCCTGATTCACGAGGCCAGGGAAGGCCTTACAGTGACTTTTTGCATGCTCCGATGACAGTCCCGTTGTGAATCAAATGATACACATAGAGCTCGAGCGAAACGCTGACAGCTGAGGGTTGCGTGGGTACCTCATACTGTAGGCCAGGCAGGGGAGGAAATCCCTAGTTAGCGTAAGTATGGGAAGGAGGGAACAAAGCAAAAGACATCCCTTGAAGCCCTCATGCTGCTGCATCATGGGCCGCAGGGCTTCAATGAACAGGTTCAAGAAGGATTGGAACGGGTCAAGAAGGGAAATCCCATGTTTCTAGGTAGTATATAATGTATTCAATTTATATCTTCAGCCACAGGTTCTTTGCCTCATGCGAAGGTAACAGTACAAACACCAAGTGAAGTAAGTGAGGGGAAGCATTTTGACCATGGGGAAAGACCGTGCCACTTGTCAATCCAAACCCACCAGCAGCACGGGGGTAATGTTGATCATTGATCGCCTACTGCAAGCAAGCGCGCGAACGAACGAACGAACGAACGGAGGGGAGGTGACCTGCCAGTTGATAAGTTAACTACTCCATACTGTAGTGGATGGATCGATCATGGATCAGCTGTGGAGAGGGCGGGCGGGCTGAGTCAGCCGGTAGTTCGGCCTGCGCGGAATCCAATCAGTTAGTTAGTTGATTAGGAGGTAGTATTCATCCCATCCCATCCCATCCCATCATCTTAACATCCATATACTTCCAAGCTAGACTACTTCTACTACGCATCAGCGGGGTACTGTGGGAAACTGTGTCTTTTTTTCGTTTTTTTGTTTCCCCATTCCTCGTGGGGACTGTACCTGACAGAACTCAACGGTGTGCATGAGATATACCTAGGTACTACTCCGTACCTACCTCAACCAAACAAAATCCGCCCATCCAAACGGGAACCAGACAGGACGAATCTTCCAGATTCGACTGCGGTTGTAAATGGACAGACAGTATATGGGTCTTTCTCTGATACAGTCCGTCCACCCCACTCAGGAGTGTGTTCTCCCCTGGTTTTCCCACCTTTATTCCTTCTTTCATACATTTAAATTACTGCTCTATCTCAGAAGAGCCAAGGACACCCTCACCTGTGTCGCGAAACAATATTACTTGCTGGAATCTTCATCTATTTTTGTTCTGTCGACTACGATCATCGCGGCCAGACCGACCACCGAACCAGCAACCAACCAGATCAAACCAACCACTTCTCGCAGGGACCACACTCACTGGGCATGATTACTGGTACTCTTTCTTAGTACTCCGTACGGTTCCTAGTACTGCCAGTACAACATTAATACTCAGTACTCCGTACAAGCAGGCAGACAGGCAAGCAGTGGTGGGTACAATACTTACCTAGTACCTACCTACCTTGGGACTCTCCAGCCTTTTTACTTACTACTAGGTACCTACTACTTACTACCTACCTAACTACGAGCAACTAAACTACAAGGTTGTGAATTTCCCCATCTTTTCTCTCATCCTTTCCCTATTATCCTTTTTCTTCACCACCAACCAAACAGCAACCACGGCCACTCTCTCCCTCCTCAGCCTCGTTCGCTGGCCTCCTTCTCCTCCTCCTCTTTCTCCTCTTCAATCCCTCTTTTCTCTTCACCCCTCCCCCTCCCTCCTCTCTCTCCACCTTCAAAACCGACTGCTCGTTACCATCCTCTCCTCTCCCTCTCTCTCCCGCCGTTGGCCGCCGGATGCCTAGCCGTCATCGTCATTTCTCACTCCTGGTCACCCTGGTGGTTGCTCCTCTTCGTCGACAATACGTTCCCCCGCTCTGATGATTCCATGACTATCCTCTACTTGTCTACTTTTGCGACCCTGGTGGTACATTGACCTCTTTTCCACCAGGCGAAGTTCCTGGTCCTTTGTCAACCTCGGGACGCTTGCTCTTTAGCTCCCTCCCCCCCCCCTCAAATTATTTGCTCCCATGCAGGTGCGTCACGTTCTCTTCCTTGTCTTTCTCTCCGCCCCTGGTCCCTGTAAATCGCCCCATTCAAGACTGGCTATGAGCATTTTCTGTTTCTGCCTTTCGATTCCCTGTCCTTCTACAGCTTTGCACTTGTGTGCGTTGCTGGTACCAATGCCATTTGCCCCGTGGGTTGTGGGGTCCTCAATAACCCCCCTGTTTCAACTATTTACGACTGCGGGATTGCGTCTAACAACCTCTCCTTTACGCGTAGGCTTCACCGAGCCCCTCTGAACCTGGAGGAGGATACGCGACGCGGCGAGGGCATGTTCCCCAATTGTCAATTAGCGACCCAAGTCACCATGTAACAGAAGCCATCGGGCACATGTACGAAGATGATTACGACAAACGCGATTCTCGGCGCCTCAGCTATATCTCCTCCCCCTTAAGTGAAGCGATCACAATCATACCTCCAAATCTGGCCGGCTGCGAATCTCCTACCACGCCCCAAAATCTACAAGTGAAAAACCATCCGAGTGAAGTAAACCAACGGCAAGTGAATGGGCAAACATGGGCGCAAGGTTCCAAGTCTGTGGAGAGCAGCCCGACGTCTCCCGCCTCGACCGCCTCTCCCGGCTCCACCGACACCGCTACTACCTCGTTCCCTCTCAACGATATCGATTACGAGTCCAATCCAGCCGCCGTGGCACAAGAGCTGAGCAACTTGGCTGCAATCCGGCGGATGTCAATGGACGTGGCAGCCACCGGGGATCCCGACCTGCCGAGTTTTTCAGTGCCGTCGATCGCGCCCTCTCCCTCCGACGATGAGAACGATGCTGCCCGCCTTTTCTGGGTCCCCGCCCGGTTACACCCGGAGTTGGCACCCAAGGAATTCAAATCGTTCCTCGAAAGCAAGGCAGATATGATCAAACGGAAGTCCGGGGAATTTTCGACCCTAGGCTCGGATGGCGAAGGCATGCGAGGAGGACTGAGACGGAAGCGGTCCATGCTTTCAAGGCAGATCGACAGCTCTCATGGCTATACGGATGGTGCGGAGCGGCTCGAGCGAAAACGCTCACAGACACAAAAGGACTCGCTGGGTCCCAACCTGCACGAACTGGAAAGCTTGGTAGATGACTCGAAGTCGCGCACGCCGAGCGCTTCGTCAATCCTCAGCGATATCCAAAAGCTTGGGTTATCAGCCGACGAAGATAGACCGATACTTCCTCCAGCCCCTCCAGGTCACAGTCTTCGACGCTCAACAAGAACCCAATATCGCAAGGCTGGAAGCCTACGAAAGGGAGAGAAAGCCCCATACTCCAAACGGGCAGGGAAATCGGCGGACGGGAACGACCCTACAGGCGGACAAGCAGCTATAGGTCTGACACGGGTATCGACTGATCCCACGCCGAGTGTGACACGGTCGCAAGCCTTGGCCAAGTCTACTCAAGCAACCCCGCATACCCCTGACACAACATCCAATTTCACGTTGGATTCGGCTTCCGAACCAACACCTTCAGTAAGTGACTCCGTTCTTCCCGATCCATCAGATCGGGCAAGCGCCCCTCCACCTGAACGTCAACAATGGCATTCGCGGATCAGCTCGAATGGACGCTCGACATTGAACATTCCATCCTCCGAACAGAGAATTCCCGAAATAGTTGAGACCCCGCCGCCCGAAAGCAATGCCACACCCCCGAGCCCAAGTTCTCAGCAGCAGACCCCGCCCTCAAAGAGCCCTTCGGCAGCAGATCGATCGCACGAGCGTCCCCCTAACAAACGTTCCGGACTCAGTCGCACACATGCAACGGATGCCGCCCCCACTCTTAACGAGTTCGCCAATAACCCGCAGCCCTTGCCCGGTAATACTATGCGAACCGACAGTCTTTCATTTATTCCCACCGTGTCGGAAGATCGCAAGTCAGAGGAACGCAAGCCCGAAGAAAGAAAATCCGAATCGAAGAAATCAAAGGACAAAAAGGAGTCTGAAGGAGGACGCAAATCGAGCTGGCACTGGCTTTTGGGTAACGAGGAGAAGGACAAGGACAAGGATAAGAAGAAGGACAAGGACAGCGATTCGAAGAAGCACAAATCGAAGTCTGCGGACAAAGCACACGATGCATCTCACACCCCACCCTTGTCGAGCGAGACTATCCAGCGGGGACGCGAAAGCCTTGTTATGGACCGACTGGACCCCAAATTAGAGGATGAAAGGCGCAAAGATAACACACGGAGAGCTTCCGGCGAATCGAAGAAAGAGAAGGAATCGGGCCTATTCTCATCCATCTTTGGTGGTAGTAGGAAGAAGAGCAATGGCGATAGCGGGCATCATCACAAGAAGAGCTCCTCTCGTAACTTGTCCCCTGAGCCGCCAGTTCGAGAGTTGCGGCCAGATATTGATTACGCTTGGACTCGGTTCTCTATCCTGGAAGAACGAGCAATCTACCGGATGGCGCATATCAAGCTTGCGAATCCTCGACGCGCGCTGTACTCGCAGGTCTTGTTGAGTAATTTCATGTACTCGTACTTGGCCAAGGTGCAACAGATGCACCCGCACATGATGCTCGCAACATCAGCGGCTCAGAGACAGCAGCAGCGACAACAGGAAGAGTACCAACAGTACCAGCGGTATCAAGAGGTAAGTTCTTGCTACCAAGGCCTTGACAGAAATCTGCTGACGTTTCCTTCTACGTGCAGGCCCAGGAGCAACAGTACACCGACAGTTCCTACGATGATCCTCAGATGTATGAATATAGTGACGAGCATCAAGACCAGTACCGATCCCAGTCGCGTGGGAGCAAAGATGGCTACGACAATGGGAATGCATACGGCCCTGGCCATAGTCAATATGGTCATTCAACCTTTGGAGATGATATGCAATTGGATGATGACGAAGACGATATGTGGTGATTGTGAACGGACAGGCTCTTCCCTTGCTACGGTCGAATATTTGACGAGCATTTCTATACCCCTGCTTCTGTCGTATCGGGCGCCTTTTTGCAGCTTTGTACACTGGTGTTAGCTCCTATCTTTGGAACCGCGATATGTGGCAAATAGCACAGCGAAAGAAAAGGATATGAGGGTTTCTGTTTCATATCTCACTATACTCACAGGGAAAGCTGCTGTGAACCAACTTTATATAGTGCACCTTTGCATATTCCATGATGATGGTGGGGTAGTGCCTGATATGACCTGTTGTTGTTGCCTTGGCTTGATTTGATCGCATAGCGAGAGGGGTTTGCTTGATTTTCTATTCTTAACTGTCTGTATTAACGCTTATTTTATCATAGAACCTGACAGCTGACTGGAGGCTAGTAGCCATTGGCGGGGTTACTTGATATTGGCTGATGATGTTCAGGATGCCCTGTAATTTTCAGGTTATGTAGATTTCAATGCAGTTCCTTCTCAAGTAAATTATCCACCGAGGAGGGGCCGCGACCTGGCGATGAGTCTTGCACGTGACAGCCGTCTTCCCCACAAGCCTCCGCAGCGTCATCCAATCCACTCCCGGCCGGCCATGGACTCTTGACTTCCTTCTCCGTACTGCCTCAGACCTCGGTCCTTTTCTTCATCTTTCTTATCCTAATAGACAACGCACTCCGCTTTATTTACCGGACCTAATACATCTCACGAACCGGATTCCTCTACAACTCCTAGGACAACCTTGCACCTTTACCCTCGCCCCGGCCCCGCAACGAACCGAAACAACCGCGAAAATGGCCGAAGCCTACGAGCGCGAACAGTATGTGATGTTCTTACCTTGATTATCCCTGGCCCCCCATCCCCCGGCTCTCTTCAGCTTTGACAACCAAACCGAACCTTTGGGTATCCTGGACTTTTGTTTTTGAAGTCCAAGAAGAAGCGACGAGACGTTCGCAAGATCCAACAACTAACTCCAACTGGCACTCGGTTAGACAAAACAACGCCCTCCTCAACTCCCTCTCCTCGAAGGTTTCGGCGCTCAAGTCCGTGACGATTGATATCTACGACAATGCGAGGGATCAGGAGACGTTGGACCATTCGGTTCGTTCACTTCTTTTTCTTCGGGGGGTGTTTTCCAAACTGACCTTTTTTTTTTCTTCGCTGCTGTGCAGAACCAAGTCTTCTCCTCTCTGTCCACGAACCTCAAGGGCAGCGCCAGTCGGTTGACCCGCATGGCGCGGCAGGGCGATACGGTGGCTGTGCTGAAGGTCGCGGGCATTGTAGTCGTGGCGGGCTTGCTGGTGTGGATTGTTTTGGGGTGGGTTTTTTGAAGGGTCCGCCTCACATCTGGTTTGCTGGTTGGGTTGGGTTGGGTTGGGGGATGGGATGGTACTAACTCAGCTGGAGGTTGGAGGTTGGGGGTTGAGGGGTTGGGTCGCTCGCTGGTGCGGCTGTATTGCGGCGCGGAGCGGTGGTGCATGCCAGAGCTTTGCTGCTTGCTGTTTGTGGTGCGGTGGTCTTGAGGCGGGATGGGACACTGGGGACTAGGGTACCCAGGGTCGTCATGGCTGGCTGGCTGGCTGTGTTGTGTCTTCTCTTTCCTTTTATGTGGGAGGAAGACGGGGTAATGTTCTGGACAGGTCGACTTGCGGGTTCCAAGGGACTTTTCCTTTCGTTTCTGTTCGTTTTAATTCTTATGGTGATGATGGGTTGGGGTTGGGGTTGGACTGGGTTTCATGTATAGCGATGATAGGGGGGTTGTTGATCCCCCTGGCTTTACTTCTTGGTGGTGTTCATAGCTTGTTTTCACTTGGACTGTACTTATAGCTTCGATTTTAGGGTTATTTAGACCGATGCATTATTATGGGTTCTCTTTCGCTTTTGGTTTGGGGGGGGGTGGTTACAAGGGTGTAGTGGGTGTATATTGTCTGTTCATTATGTTCAGTTACTGGCCAGCGTAGTGGGCTGGGTTGGATCCTTGCGATCCTCTGGTAGGTCTTGTTGTTTCGTGATAGCCATGCCTTCGGTCGGTTGGTCTAGACATTAGCTGCTAGTTTGGTCGAGCCCATATTGGTTTGCTGGATGTGCTGCTGCTGCTGCTACTGCTGTGAGGTTAGTTGGGAAGATCACAGCGTCGGTTGTCTGCTCTCTTCTTGGCGGGTGCAGTACAGTCGAGCTAGAATCTGTTGTACCCGGAAGATAGGATTAGGTCATTACTTGTGGTTGTCGGAAAGCTCGTGCATGGCTGCTGTGGATGTATGGAACTCGTTTACAAACTATTTGACCACCCCACGCTGCCTTTACACCTAACTTTGGGTCTATTCTCCTGTCTGATTCTCATCGACATCAGAGAGAAGAGTGGTAGATTGATGCTGGCGACGGCCAGAAAATGCTGGTGTCTCTTCGAGCATTAGTGACAGCACTGTGGCTATGGCAGGCCATGTCGAACATGTATCTATTTTCCTTGTGGCACCGCTAAAGGAAGCAGTATCAGTGCGTGCGGAGATATGATTCAGAAGGGCAGAAAGAGGTGCTCCTAGACCTGGCACAGCCACGGCGGCGACAAAATCAGATTAAAACAAAGCATCTAGTTGTCAGCATTCGTGGCAAGGCCTCGAGAGCAAATCGGACGGGCAAGAAAGCAGCAAGCTCGAATAGTATCGAGTCGAGCAACAGTGAATTGTACAGCAAGATTGTCGATAATGAGGATTGCACAATCAGTGGAATTTGGGCCGGCGAACAATACAACCATCCCCAAACTAGGCTCGACTCAAATAGGAAATAACTGGAGCAGGATATCCACGGACGCCGACAAGCCGGGGCTACGGTATCACATTGCGAGAGTCTTTCACCAATGGAAGCGGCTCTGTGCCTCCAGTTCGATCATTGGTTCAGAGTATTGTTGTCTGTCTTTGGTGTAGGAGCTCAGGCGATGGCACACGCTTGTCCGCTGCAAGCCAATGCTGTGGCCCTGAGAATCAACCACACTAGCACAACATGAGCACAACCATTGTGAGAGGAGGCTGTGTTGGTTTGACTGGCTGAATTAATTGGTTGCAAGGCTTGGCTCCGGCAAAATTGTTCATTAAGAAGAGCCGGGATGAAAGCGAATGGGAACCGGCAGCGGTGGTTGTGCATGTGTATCTTGTGCGCGAGGCATTCTGGAACTTCTGTACAGTATCAGCATGCCAGTCAGCAGACAGAACCAGGCCCTTGATTGGGTGCATGTATACGCAACAAACGCCACAATGCGCAGGTGGCCTGAGAGGTTTCGCGGGCCCTCGCCGGAAATACCCTCTTTAGCACTTCCCCATAACGGATCGTGGGGGTTCAGTGGAAACCTCTGCTTCGATAGCCCCCCGGTCCAAGCTCAATATGACGCATACCGGCTGGTCCGGGTGATCGTGCTGGGGCGGGCTGGTGGTTCTCGATGCAGCATGCTTTGCGTCAGAGCTGTTGCCTTCCCGCGGTGCAGATCCATTGATGATGAGTATTACATGGGGGACCAGGGGCATTGGCTAAAGAGATCTCTAAGGACAAATCCGCGGTCGAATCCAGGCTGTTCTATCCAGCAAAGTGGCTTATTCGAAGAAAGACACCCGGGGTGTTGAAAAGAGCCAGAGAGGTGGGTGGCCGATCATGTTGATAACAGTACGTCATGGCCGTCTGTCCGCCACAGAGGGTTTGGAGATGATGAAGTCGATTCAGGAGCGAAGGGTTGCCCCTCTGCCCGAATCCAATCGTCCGTCTTGGGGCATTTCTTTCAGATCGGATTCTTACCCGTGAAGGGGGTCTATCGCTAAAAAGTCAGGAAGTCTTCTGGTCGTTCCAATGCTGGATGTAACCAGCGGGTGACTGCAGTGTAGATGCAATTGCACGATTATCTAATCGCAGTCTCGACCCCGGCGATATTACATGATAAGAAAGAGTGGATGAAAGTGGATGGAAAGGGTAGATCTCACCCTGATCTGCATGTGGCATGTGACGATGCCCCCCAGCTGCAAAGGTATTTTCCGGGTCCAATTTGTCTTTATGCGCTTCAGCAGTCCGGAAAAGCATCACGGCAAGCTTGCCTTCTGAAAGATCATCAAAAAGGGGCATGGCGCCATTTCTCTCACACGTGAGCTCATCCTGTGAGAATGGGTCGGTCGTGATATATGAGTAGTTAGATGGTGGCGGCAAGGATTGCAGCGAACCTCGGCTGGAAGGTCGCGTAACTCGGGTAAATTGATAACGAGATAGAGATTCTATTGCGACAATCGGACAATTGATAAGGAGAGAAGGGGTGTGTGTGGTGGAGTGATGGATGGTGGTTCCTGATAAGGGGTGAATGAAAAGGACGGTCGGGAAAAGGAACCGGACTTGAGGTTGAGGGCCGGCCACGTGCTGTCCGCCGCTGCCGCTTGTTGGTCCTTAGGCACCAACACGCCTCATTCGGGAAAGAAAGGCTGGCGCCGCGGTGGAGGACTGCTGCCCGACATGTACTCCGTACGCAGCGACAACAGCAACAACAGCAACAACAACAACAATCTTCTCTGGTGGGTTCTTGAAGCGTCCGTGCTCGGTACCTGGCTAGGCTGCTAATAGTTCCGGTCATTATCATCAGTTCATCACACTACAACCGCTAGACAAAACTGTCTGAAATCCGAAGCACACTAACTGGTCACTACGGCTGCAGGGGGCGAGCGGGCTGGCTGACCGTCCAACTTTCCTGACTTTTATCTAGGCTCTAGACTCTAGAGTACTTCCCGAGCCAGCATACTTGGTCGCGTCGATCCGCTACGGAAGCCAATTTCTGGTACAGGAGTACTTCTGATCTCATCGTCTGGATCTTCATGATAAGTCGATTGGTCCATTCGGATTTCCCTATCACTGACAGTGATATGATGGCAGGTCTATGCCGAAAGAGGACACCGGACAGGACAGGGCTGGGCCGCAGGCCAGAGGACTCGGCAAGCCGAAAAAGGCCTATGGGCCCCTGGGTCTTAACGGAGCACGGCATTCCGTGCCTTGTCTGACTCTTCGCTCCTGAGTCCTGAGTCTTTGGGCCCGTGCCTCGTCTAGACTGAATTGGTAACTGCACGATCAGAACTTTTCGGTCGCCCGGCTGTGGCGATAAACTGGCATGGACGACGCTTCATCTTCGAATGATCCTTACCCAATCCAGGCGCGGAGCTTACGTGCCTGTGTCGAGCACGTGCTGGGATTGTGTGGGTGCAAGACGATATTTCCCTTGAAAACCAAGCCTTACGGCTGTAAATGCCAAGAGCCATGAGAACTGTGTAGTCTACCTCTACGGAGTTCATCACAGCGAACGGGGAATCATGATGATTTCGTATCAGGTTGCGGAAGAGTGCAAGGCGAGGACGAGATCTTAAAAGTTCACCTTCGGGAGGATTGTTCAGTGATCATGATTTGTGGTTTGCAACATCCCCAAGCCACAAATTGCAAGTGGGCCGCCAAGTTGAATTTGTTCTTGTATTCCGGCCCACCTGATTGACTTTTCTGGCTCGGATGATGTGATCACTCGATGTGGTTCTGCAAATCACTCCTCCGATGATCTGGTTCGGGCATTCTTTTTGACTCACCGCGTCGATTGGCATACAATTGTCTCGTCCGTCATAGATAGCGATTGCAGACTTGACCATTCACTGACCGTCAGGGACCAAAATCCCTCTTGACTCTTGACAACGGAGCAGTGGGCCCAGGCTCTTGTCAAGCCGAAAAATCTTAGCATCTGCCAAAACTAAAAGGGGCCTGGAACATGCTTATCGCATCATAGTTTGCGTCAAGAGTCCCGAGTCGCGACAACCTCCTTCCGCAACGAATTCGATCGGCGTCACTCTTACGGTATATACCGGCTGATTTCGATTGCGCTCTTTCTATTCCGAGCAATATTGAGACGGCAAGTCGTACTCATAGTCTAGCTTGGGATAACCATCGAAATTTCGGGTGGATGACAGCCGGCCGCCGAAAAGGATGCGGTTTCCCCCGATCCTCGCCGGAACAGTCCCCGAGAGCGCCCGATAGCGCTGTATGATATTGATGCATCGACAAGTTTAGTCTACCCGGGTCCACCGTCCCAAGTCGGATGGGCTAGGTAAGAAGTGGTAGGTAGGCAGTACATAGTAAGTCTTAGGTGGTGAGTAGCTACGGAGTAAACCAGAGGGTCCGACTAGGAGATCGAAGTGTCCGTTCTAGAAGCCGGTCGGTCGCCCTCTCACACGAAATGTTTTTCTGATACACCTCCTAGTATATGGACTCTGCTGGCGCCCCATTACCCATGTCAGTTGACTCCCAGTCCTGAGGGTTGCAGCCGAGCTTGCTGAAA